TAAACAATAGTATTCTTGTAATTGTATTAACTGCAATAATTTTCAGTATAAAATTATATAATTGCCTTATGTATTAGAATATAATTTCATTCCATGTCCCATAAATTATTGAATAACAAATGAATTTAAATAATTTATTACAAATTATAGATTTAGCTGTCACTATCTAAGAAACCAGATAAACAAATGTACAATGAAGTTATTTAACTTCTGTGGGTGTGAAAAGTGAATGTATATTCAAGAATGGGGATTGACTGTTATCATGATTACAATACATATCCATATACGGGTAAGTAAAAACAATATTTACCATCTCACACATCTAATCTTTTATTCAACCTTGAGTACACTTCTCTCTGCTATCAAATTATTTTAATTAACATCAGTTCTAAGTATCAATCAACACAAGCTCCAGATATATACATACGCAAAAGGCGTATTTTTTCACAGACATTTTAAACAAACTGAAATTATTTGAAAACAATGAAATAAGAAATTTAACTTTAAATTAAAAATGTTCACCCAAAACAAAACTCTAAAACAGTGTATAGTACTATAGTACTATAGTACATATTACAGTATATACGTATAGTATATTTGTCTTTAACTGCATTATTCACATAAGCAAGTTGTATTCACCAACATTGTTCGTAAAGTTTAAAGCGTCTATTAAATAGATGACTATACTTATGAAGTTAACTACGAACATTTGCATAGAATTGCTTTCAAAAGCTGATTAGTTATTGAAACCTGAAACAATATTATACCATCTTCATTTTTCGATAAAGCCGGAAAACAATAATAAACGGTACATCCGAAATTGACAAAATACCTATAGCTTAACCAAGAGAAGTTCAAAATCTAATATTGATTTTTAAATATTTTGTTTTGATCCACGAGAACTTAGAAGTTGACGTTACCCAGAATTATGTCCGGAATTATACTTATAGTTATAGCCTATAGCATATAGGTATAAAATGGTTTTTATAATTCAATATTTTAAGTCACAACGTCTTCATAAAACCGGAAATTAAAATAAATTATAATATGGATATACAAAGTATATATATTACCTTAGTGATACAGAATTATATCAGTTACTACCGACCAATACCAATTTTAAAACGCTATTAAAGCTGAGGAAGTATTATCTTACCATAACAATACATATTATGATAATACATAATTAAACAATACATCTATCATACGTGGAAATCAAAATATTTTGTAGGCGTATACAATTATTAATTACCCAATTCTGAAGTAGAATTTTAATTTTACCTTTCTATAAAAGTACCTACTCGAAATTTCTCAAAACATAAATATCATAATAAGACTAAGCTATATTAAAACAGTAGACAAATCAATTCTTGAAAAACGTACATATCGTTCTGCTGCAGAGTAGGTTTGGTCGAGGAGCCTATAATGGGTGTGTTGGATTTGAATTCAATAATAATTCATTATATAGGTACAATAAAAAAGGATTCAAACCAGAGATCATCTGTCAGAATATATTACTAAGGATATTTATATATTATATATTTATACTACTATATAATTAATAGTTTAATTTTCTATACATGTTATACCTATGATGGTATATCATATATTTTTGTTATTACAATACTACAATACAGCAGAACGGTGTGAATAGAATCGTGGTATACATTTTAAATTGTGAATATAGAAATAAATAGTAAGTTCTGAATTAATAATTATTCGTACTTTCAAAAAGTTGTTGGTCGATACGATTAATATATTTTGAAATGCAACATAGTAAGTAATAAGAAAAAATTATTCATATAAAATTTCGTCGAAATTTGAATTTAAGTGTATACAAAAAATGAGCCTGTGTATTATCAATATTCTTGGAAATTTATTTAAGTACAACTTAGGAAGAACTTTGTATAAAATGTTCAAGCCAAGCTTAACAACAACATTTTTTGCATGTAAAAATATTGAGATGGTATGCACCTATTCAAGTATATACCTATTGAGTATTTATTTCTGCTATAGAAACAACTAACAAGGAACATTGTATTATTCATACTTTTAAGCTCCTTGATTTAGAAAAAATGTTTATCAAAATAAATCAATGGAAAAAACTAAAAAAAAAAAATGAAAACAATTTTAAATGTCTTTAATCAGCACAAAAATGTATTCTTATAAGTTATAATAAATATAATAATAATTATATGTATCGTGTCGTATCTAAAAAAACGTTAAATAAATAATTGGTAAACATTTCAAATAGATATCTATCGTTTTTGAATTTCAACAAAATCGATTTTTGTCGAAAGCTGCTATTGAGTTGATATTTAGTTTTACCCGATAATTTTGAAAATTACTGAAAACTTCATCTTTTAACTCTCCAATAATTAAAATACCAACTACAGATCAAATTTACTATCAGACAGCATCCTCAACATTGAAAGTTGGAACGTCTTTACAACTCCAAAACGTGATGCACACAATTTTTTTTAATACACACTCGCATTATTATAAAGACTAAGAATCTAATATCTAATCAAAACAACCTACACAATATTTGCTTATACATAGAAACACTACACGACTACACATTAGTGATTATTGGTCTACCTACTTTAACAAATGAGATTAGTTAAACTAACACGGCCAAAATTAACGGATAGATTGGTATACCAATTGCAATTATAGCAATACGAATTTATACTAGTATTAAATGATTACATAGGTATACCTCAAATATTTACGAATTTGCTGAGAAACTTTATTTATAGAATTAATTCGTAACACAACTTCATAATAACCAGTCTTTAATAAAAATATTTTTATGATTTTTAAAATTTGAATTGTCATCAATGGATACACTCGAATATTGTATTACTATATGGCATTTTTTTTTCTTCTCCAGTGAACACGCAGAGTTGAGAAAAGTACAACAGGTGTGTTGGCGTGTTGCTTGGGAAAAAAAATAAAATGAATAACATAAATCAGAATTAATTTTTCAAAACAAATTAACATAAATTCTCAGGGTCTAGAGACAGACATTTTGTTCGGTTATCCTTAGGGGTTGTTATGTATTAGAAAATATTCAACAACGTCAAGATTATGTAAATATAATTAAATAAGTCCATTTTATTTAGAAAAGGAAAATAGTTCCTAACAATAAGATTAAGTTAAACTACCTATATACGTAAATGAAATATTCTATACATTCTCTTTTGTACAGAAAATATGTTTCGTCCTGAAAAATGGATATCCTGGGGCATGTTCTTTATTATTTTAACTTTGCTTATCGAATATGATAAATACGACCATTGCATTATTAGTTTAAATTGTTCAAATGTAAATAGTATGAGATGTATCATCAGAAATATATTTAGAAATAATCAAACTGCCTATCATAATAAATACAATACTTATATTTTTCTAAATTATATTTTATTGCAAAAATAGCGTATATTATATTCACATACTTAATTCGCAGTGGAATATCTTTCACCCTTGTCAACAAATCCTTATTACCTACTTGTTTTAAAAAATCGATTTGTTGTGAAAAAAATATGTCACAAAACTACAAAAGTATTAATATAAACAGACTAAGACGTATAATTTAATTTATCGAGTTTACTATATAATTTTAGAGTATAATTTTATACAATGCCTCACTCAGCAATTCAGTAATAAATAATTGTACAATTATTATACAGTACGTACCTATATAAAATCTCGTTTTAAGTTTAATTTAACAAAGTGACTATTATTTTTTCATAAACGAAAATTCTAAGTTCTTAGGTACCTAAGTAATATTTTTGTTACTGAGAAATAATTAGCAAGAAATAAAAATTATAATTACATTTACAGATCTTTCTCTAATATAGTTAAACGTATACATTGGCAATAACAGTAATTATTACGTTTCCTGGACTTAATTGGATATTCGGATTGTTTTGTAAATCACGACCTCGCGTAACTATCCACGTAATATAAATTATTATATATGATTATTTTATAGTATACTATACATGTAACATGTAGCAGGTTTGAAAATGTTGGCAACCATTTACAACTTTCGATTAATGTTTTCAACCCCCATTATTAAAAATTGATTTTATCTTAATTTTTAAATACTGAAGTGTACTTAAAAACAACACCAAAAAGTATAGAGCATCCAGTGGCTCAACTAGGTTGGTTGTGACTTTCCACCTCAACGTTTTTATTCAATTCAAATTTCATTTTTTCCAAATTTAATGGTATAACCTCCCCCCCCCCCCCCGAAATAAGTCCTCGTTGAGTCACTGAGCGTATATATATGTATAGTACATTTAAGTCGGTTTAAGAATTTTGTACTTGCAATTTAAGGTTTGGTAGCCAATAGATAGGTATACTACGCAAGGAGACTTAAACAGTTAATAAAATGTCTGCCAAAACGCCTTAATAAGAACCTAACTACAAATTAACGCCCGTTCGTTATTTATTTTGCCTTGAAAAATGTATTAGATATCATCTAATTTTATCTCGATTGAAGCGATTTGAGAGTCATTATATTATAATGTTTATATTTAATATATTATTATTGTTGCAACGTCTTGAAACAACGTGATGTTGGCTAGGTTAAGTTTCCGAGAGAAAAAAAATATGTACACCTACTACCATTTAATATTTTAATATTCTTACACATAAACGTAAGTACCTATCCAGCTACCTACCTATATATTATCTTGGTATTTCACAGAAACATTCTATTTTTACAAGTCCTTATATTAAGAAGAGTCGGTATGAAATATCAGTAATCTCAAAGCTTGGGTACCTATATCCATAGAGCCGTATATTAAACAGCCTAAACAGGTATGCGATTCGTGCATTATAAGTGATAACAAAACGGGTGAAAATTAATAGATTGGTACTCGACTACTAACAAGAAAGTAGAAAACCAAGGTACAAAGCTGTTTAACATTATACTCAATAATATATGCATCTACAAACTACATAATAGATTAGGTGATAGAACCTACATATGAAATAGTCGACCAGGACCGTCCTCCACGTGATAGAGACATCGCAGCTGACTCCCGAGATGGGTTGGTTGTCGATAAGGCCTAACCACCCCGGTACCATTTTGCCAGTTCAGAAGAATGCAAACATAAAATTCGTATACACTGACCGTTTTGCAGACCGGTACACGCAGCGTAGAATGTCTCTCTCCGTAAAAAGGAGAAACTTCTTTGTTGACGCGCGATGTCCCACTTGTCGGTTATTGACACCAGCGCGGCGCGCGTGATACTTATTATTATTATTATTATTATTATTATTATTATTATTAATATTTAATGTGCTCGGATCACTCGGGCCGCCTGGCGTTCGATTGATAAACAAACGAAAAAATTTTAGTGATAAACAAATCAAACACTGAAAAAACCGAACAGTCGAAAATTTCACTGCACCGGAGTGCAAGCTCGCGGCCTGCCAAACGGTATAAAAAATATAAAACCGAAACCGAACGCGCGAGATTCTCGAAATCTCGAACGCGGCGACGGATAGAGGCACCAAAACGACGGGTATTTTTCAAAAATTTCGCACTGGCACGACGATACGGCGAACCTCGCACACACGCGTACAATAACAAAAAATATAATATATATATATATATCACATACACTCACGCAGGCGCGCACGATCGAGCATACACAAACACACGCGCACACGCACTCGCGAAAACAAAACCTGGCGGGGTAGGGGCGCGCACGACTTAATTTTTTCTCTTTTATTTTTCGATTTTTTTTTTTTTATTCCCTTCCTCCGTCGGACAGAATGATAAAATTATAAATAACGAGACGGACCGCACAGGTATACCTGTTCGGGGATGCCACGTTACCAAACTGAATTACTGAACTCGCGCGCGCGGCGGCTCCGAGGTTCGAACGGTGCGGTGCACGCACGCAAACGCACCGACACAGGTAGAACGGGGGTGAGAGGACGACAACGGAGAGCCGTACCTTATTTCGGTGGAAGGAGGACAAGACCTCCTCCTCCACCGACAGCATCGAGTCTCGCTCCCCCGCACACCCGTCCGGCCAAACGGTCTCGCCGGCGAACGCGTTCCGGTCAGAAACATCGCACGGCCCGGCAACGTCGCTCAACCGGTTCGGCCCGCGTTTTCTACATGACCGTACGCGCCAGCACCGCCCCCACCACGGTCCACGACTAGTTGCGCGGGCAGTGGCAATCTTCTCTCGGCGCGAGAAGCGCTCACGGATTGCGCACGCACCTCACTCGCCGTCACTCGTCGACTTATCTGTACCTATATTATTATTATACGCGTTTATCTATGCCGCCGCCGTTGTAGGTCACCTCGATCGTCTGCGCCAGCCGATAATACTATTTGACTACAATATTATGATTATTATTATTATTATTATTATTATACGTGTGGCGATAGCCGATAACAATATTTTAGTATTTTTAGTTTTCCTACCTACATATATATTATTTACAGAGGTGAAGTATTTACATAGAAGTGTATAGTCATTAGTCATAGTACCTCGTAGGGGTGATAATACCCGTTGCCTCTAGCAACAGTTTTTTGAAAATTCGTCGAGGTGCCCAATTTGTATATAAATTTACTACTACATTTTTTAAATATTCAGATGTCTGAAATGGTAAAGTTATCACTGACCAGTAATAATAATATAATATTGTAAATTGTATTGTATCAAGTATACGTCTGCATGTATTAATAATAACAAGTCTGGAGGCACCAACACATTATAGGAAATAACATGATTATAAGACAGAGTTGAGAGTTGACAAATTAAAATGTTGATTGTTGTGGTTATTCTTTTGTGAGAAGATCGGGCACAGGTAAAAATATTTTCGTTCCCCCATTTTTTAAATCTTGAATACACCACTGCCTTCTCTGTCAGTAGTGGTTATCCATATATACATATATGGCTATAAAACGTTATTATTGTACATATTATAACCTTTTGTTACGAATTTAGGATACAATACAACACTTGATTTAGCATTCAGTTGTTTTTTCGTTTTTATTTTCTATGGGGAGGCGATTTGATATTTTTTAGTGTCAGGGAAACCAGTACGCTGCGTGGCAGCCGCCATCGCCGAGGTCAAGATCAAATGGCGGTGGGCGGCGGCGTTTCCCTCCAAAACAATAATTATTAATTAAACGGTCGCGACCTTATAATATTTTAGTCGCTTGCGGCTCCACAAGTTGAAATGGACATTTGCATCATCGTTCTTACTAGGTTTTCTTTTATTAGATTAATTTGATACCTATATATAGTATTGCTTATAGATACTAATATGAGTATACATTTACAATTTTGGAGTTTTATACGAAACAGCTAAAGCCAAAATATCCAGCAATGGTTGAATTATTATTTGGTATAGCTTATATTAAAAGCAACAATTCGTGATTCCTTTTCTAAGGGAAAGCCGGCAATTTGTGTTTTGTAAGTAATAAGTATACTGCCATAACTTAATTATACACGAGAAATGTTCCAAAATTATATTATGTAAATATTGTTGATTGCGATTTTATTATATCGTTAATTGTTAAATACCTACCTATTTAATATTAACACTTAAAACAATTTAAATGCAATAGTATATAATATGAAATTGTTTTTGATTAGCTACTCAAATATAATATTATAGTATTACACTGTTTCGCATCAGATTATAGCGAGCTGCAGTGTTCACAGTATCGGAGAAAATAGTTATTTTATGAAGCGACTGCCTCATGTAAAAGTGGGAGCGAGTACTGGGTAGGTATCTTAATGATCCCAGACGGACAGACTCGCTTATAATTTACGATTAATTTATGTACTTATATGAACTGTGGTTATGGGGAGGATGTGGGGGCTAACCCTCCACTTATTAACACGTGAATAATTAGTGGGTGCTGGGTGGGTTATTATTTAAATAGTTGCTTCATAGAAAAAAATTCACACCACCACTGTGTTAGGGGTATATATAATGTGTATATATGTATACATATATATATATGATTAAATTAAAGTCATTGTTACTGCATATTATAAAAAAAAATGTGTAATACATAATGTTGATTATTCGGATTGTAAAAATAACAAAATATTATAGAGAACAAGTAACGGGTTCTACGTCGCGTCTGAAACCAGAATGGATATGAAACATATACAATTTAATAAGTATTTTTAAATTAATATAGATAATACATTTAATTATTTATATATCATTTATTTATTATCATTTAATCCTTAAAATAACTATAATACTGTAACTATTATCACTTTTTTATTTTTCTTCATAATTTATATTATATAAAATGTATTAACCCACTATTATTATTATTATTATTATTATTATTATTATTATTATATTAGTTATTTCTTATTACTATAATATGATAGAACATAAATTTTTATTTGAGACTCACGTAGTTGCGTTTATTAAAACAAGGAAACATAATTATTAATGATAGACGATATAGTTTAACTCGAAAATTTAATAATAACAATATTATGTAAATAATTTCAAAACTGCTCAATAAATGTTTATTATTAAGAGTATTTCAAACAAAAACTACCAATGAATTAATTTAAATAAATATTTGTTACACAACTTCAATATTTAAATACCAACACATATCTCGAAAATTATTCGATAATAAAAAGATATTGAATAGAATAGAAAATAATTATATATACATCAACCCATTGAAAAATAAATTAAATTAGCTAGTTCAGGGTGGTGTTTAAATTATTGTTATGCTGCATTTGAAAGTTGGTTAAATCGAATGTGTGAAATCGAATAAAATATTATTAATATATTATTTGCACTTTTTAGATTCTAAGCGGAGGTCTTAGTTGTAGGATTTTATTGGGTGTAATAACTAATTACATGCAAATATCTGGCACCACCTTTAGGTGTATTAAAAATACTTCAATCTTTGACTTTAAGAGAAGTATTTAGTAGTAAATTATATCTATTTGATACTTTGAAGAGTCATAATCACGCAGTAAAATAATTGGAAAAAATAAAAAAATATTACGAAAAACAAAAATATTTACACTAAATAAATTTTTGACGATATCGTTTTTTAATTTGTTGTTGTTGATCCCGTTTTTAAGGAGTTCAATATAGGCAATTTCCCATGTGTGTCCATGCGGGTTGTGTAAATAAATTAATAAATAAATGTGCATGTAGTTAGTGATCATTAGTGTGAGTGACTATATAAAATAAATAGCAGAGAGCCCCTCACGTGCATGTACATGTCATTAACGAATTACACAAATATTAATTATTTTGTTTTTACGTCAAAAGTATCAATTATTTGTCAATCATATTATAACTAACCAATTTATAGAATAACATATTTTCTGACAACATATATTAATATTTTAGAAATTTATTTGACAACAACTTTCTTGCATTTTTAAACTAGTTTTTCAACTTCAATATTACTAACATTTTAAAATTTGAACTTTTACGGCTTAATGAGTTCAATTTCAAAAAAGTAGCAAAGTTGTTTTGAAAAAAACTTCATCACGAATTCAAATATGTCTTCCGAAGTTTTATTCAATGTTTAGGAGAGTACAGTTGACATAAAATAGATACGTCTATTTCGATAGAAAACAAAGGTGGGACCGAATGTAGACATGACAATTTCTCCAAATATTTAAAAAGTATTTTCAAAACACGATGTAATTTTCAAAATTGTTTGACTCTTTCAGTGTTATTTAATGTGACATTTTAAATATTCTACTTCTTAGTTTTTTACGATATAATATACCTATAATATTTTTATTAGTAAATCAAAAAGTATGAAAAATTATTCTAATGTTCTTTTAAAGTTTTCTTATAGCAATTAAAAAAATTCAAAATACGTAGTTACAATTTTTTGTTAGAAGCATATGAAGTTATAATTTTGATCGATTACGTCAAATTCACAAAAATGTGCAAATTATTTTGTAGTAAAAATCATCGAATACTAATTGCAATAGCTAAGACTTGAAAATTAAATAGCGACAAAGTTGTTCATAATAATATGTATCATTCTTACCGCTGTTGAGCTGTCTAATAAATCGAAAACTGACATTCACTATGTTTTTTTTTTAGAGACATTTCAAGCAGTGCCGTATTGGGAGTTCAATCCCCCCCCCCCCTCAGGAAAATAAAAGTACGTATGTGTGGAATTATTATTATCTATTATATCTTCTAACGAAATCCCAATTAGGGATTTCTATAACCAATAACCACCCAGATTGAATAAAAGATTGAAACGTTTTCACTGCTACAAAATTTAATGACAGACAAAAATAACATTCATTGTAGTTAATAATTTCAATACATTCATATTTCATTTACCTACCGTCTAAATACAATTACACTGTTAATATGTAATTATAATATATTCATTTAACACGAAAATCAATTATTGATTTATATTTTGTTTTATGATAATTTCTTTAATATTATTAAATAAACGGAAAATCGGTACAATGATACCCGTGAAAAGGATTGTCATAAATATCACTATGTCACGAACGATTTAGACTGGGATGCTATAAAAAGCTGATAAGGGTGAGAAAGAAAAAAACCACGACAGGCTATATTTGGATGGGTAAAATTCTAGGAAAAACCTCGGGAAATATAATACTTCATTTAAACGGACCGTATATATTTTAGATGATAATGGCTCATAAATAACGTCCCAAGTGCTGCAGGTCAGTACAGCTTCCAACTATATCATTATCGCTTCAATCGGTTCGAGTACGACCACCGCGTGTAAAAAATAATATACAATTTAATTTGAATTTTATCCGAACGATAAATTATTATCTGGTGGGTAGCAGATGGGTTATAAATAATAATAATAACACTGTGTAGTTGTGAAGAAATTTC